AAGATCGACTCTTGTTTTTCCTCGCGCATGATCTCTTTCACGTTTTCTCTTTTTTTGCCTCCATAGAAGGTTTAAACTTTTTCCTTGCCTGACCAGTGGTCGAACAGGTGGAAAAATACTGGAGAAAAAAGCATTATTTCCATGACTATATAAGAGTCTGGTCGTAAGGCAATTTGTTCTTCCAGGTCACATAACCTGGCCAACCTGCGTCTTCCCCCAACTTACTTAGATATATCTAAGTTGACTAGATAAGAGGGGAGCCCCGCTCGTAGCATTGATAGTGTCAAGCACTGTATATTGGCCTAAGGAGTCATTTAAAATAACTTGTATACGACAACTTTGTAGGTCACAAAGTCCATGTGCCTTTAAGTAAGGTAATAAAGTATTTGTACTGTATTACTTGGTACCTCTACTGATCCAAAAACAATTCTTATCACACAAGATTTTGCTTCCATTTATATGTGGTGATATAAAAAAAATATTTGTATGTTTATACTTTAATTGAAGCTGGTGTTGCTTTCTTTATACATTTTTTCACTTTTTAAATACCTTGGTGCTGTTGTTTCAGCTTGTCCAACTCCTCTGTCTTAGCTGTGTGTGAAAACAAAAACAAATTACAAAGTTATTGCTTTGATGAATCATTGTAAGTCAATAAGAAAATGTAAATAAATGTCTAACATCACCTACTTTAGCTGGTGTTCCTTAGATAGAAAACTTTTTACCAATCTGACCGTTTGAGTTTATTGGATTTTCTTTGTAAAAGGTCATGAGATGAGGTGTTGTGTATTAGTGCTATAAAATGTTATCACAAAAGTCTTAGTCCTGTGTGGCATCTATGGATTGGATTCAATCCCCAGACTCCCAGGAAAAAGTCATGCATGCAGACTCATCAACCAAAGGGACTTACCTTAGCCAAGTAACCAGGGTGCATCATGATTTAGAGGCATAATGACAGGACCCCCCCTGGACCATGTATCCTCATCTACACCCTATGTGTGGTATTATTATATTTTGTTTAAAACTATTTAGTTAACTGTTAACAGGAAGATTTGCTTTAGACTTTGGGTCAGATGAATCTTGAGAGGGTGTAGCTTTAGGATAAATAAAAAACCTACATTTAAGTTCACACTCAACTGCACCCTCTAAGAGAGATGTTGAGGTGGACTAGAGATAAGGTAATATCTATTATCTGTATTGACTGCTTTACTTAATTGGAATAAATTCTGTTAAAAATCAAAAATGTCTTTTCTTTTTTGTATTACACAGGGATCACTCCCTCACAAATAAAGGACCAGGTTCAAACACTTTCATCCTTCCAATTGCTGCAGCTGTCTGACCAAATGTGTTTTTATATTGTGTCTCTTGCATGTGTTGTCCTTAAAGAAATTGAATTGTACTCGGTACAATGTCAAATAAAAGCACTCTGATTTGGATTCACTGAGAGGTTTCTTTTTTTTCTTTTTACAATCTGCAGTTCCTTACAGATTGTAATGCATATATTTGTACTACACTCTAGATATTGAAAATTAGTTACTTGTAAAAGTAGCAATTACATATTAAACATATTATAATATAAAAATATTCTTCACATGAAAGCAGCAATAATGTAGTTTGATAAAAACCTTGGTACAGTTGTTTCAGCTTCTCCAACTCATCTTTCAGCTCTCTCGTGTTAGCTGTTGTAGTTAGAAAAAGCAAACAGTAAATTGTGCTGTTCTTTCATTGACACAAGAATTAAAAGAACCCATTCTAACAGCTGCTACTAAATATACCTTCATGATCTCTCTGTA